TTCTAACAGCAGCTATTCAATCTTAGGCAAATCACTTACATCCTTTAAGTCTCTGTTTTCTCTTTGTGGAAGAGGGATATTAATGCCTCCCGTGTTATTAGGTTTATCTTCTTACCACAGGGCCTGATGTGAGGTAGGCCCCATGAATGTTAGCTGTCATTTAACTTTATTTTCTGCATAGATTAAAGTTAATACTTTAACTAGTAAAAATTTAATCTCAATATATGAGTAAAATCTTAATAAACTTCATCATATATAATTCTAACTTCTTAAACTGAAGTCTATTTAGTTCACTTTGACCTTTTAATGTTGATTCAAGGTCTTTGTTAAAAAAAATTAAACTATTTTCCTATAGCTATAAATATAAATAAGGATGGTGTATATAACCTAGAGTGTAGAATAACAACAGAAGTTACCTGGAATTTTTGTTCTTGAAAAACATCTGCCAGGTAAGCTTGCTTCTTTTAATGTGGTGGTTAAGATGAACCAAAATCTTAAATCTATTGAGATGTCTCTACTTCTGCCATCTTGTCTTATTGGTTGTCTCGTCCCAGATAACTGAAGGTCGTGGGTCTGGGGCATTTCTGATCTCCTCCACTGATTCTTCGCCCTGCCATCCCCATTCTCTCTTTATTCAGTGCTGCTCTCACCTGTACTTTCTCTACCACTGCCCTGCCTCTCTGCTTGCACAGTCCTGGCCGGTTACAGTGTTTCTTTTCCTTCTGGGTTGGAAGGGGCCAGCCTCCCAGACTTAAACTTTTCTACTTTAGTTTCTATTCAAGACTCATGGGCTACTGTTTTCTTTCCAGAAGTGGCTATTTGGTCTGGTAAATGCCAGTTTGGAAGTTTGATGTTATTATACTTCTAACCAACTGAGGCATCACTGCACCTTGGTAAACATTCGGTCTGCCACATGTCACTAAGGTCACATTCTTTGTTTAGAGAGGGAGGGATGTTTCAGAATTACTCAAGATATCAACATAAAATTTCTATTCCATTTCTGTCCTTATTTATTTAACTGAAATCATAAAATTATAACAGAAATACCAGGATTATCCTTTTTATAAAAGAGAATAATGAACTGTACCACAGAATAATTTCACCAGCTGATCAATTCACTTACACATCCGAGAGACTGAGAACCGGAAAAGAAATAGAAAAACAAAAATATTTCCTGTAAACACATTGCAACTGAGGGTTGATTATGCTTGTAATTACTATTTTTCAGGCCACCTTGATTGAAATATACAGTCAGTGTCAAAGGTATTATCAAGTATTTCAAGCAGCTAATGACTGGCTTGAGGATGCCCAAGAAATGTTACAGCTGGCAGGCAATGGCTTAGATGTGGAAAGCACAGAGGAAAATCTCAAAAACCATATGGAATTTTTCAACACAGAGGATCAGTTCCATAGTAACCTGCAGGAGCTCCAAGGCCTGGTAGCCAGCCTGGACCCAGTCATCAAGCCAGCCGGCAAAGAAGACCTGGCACAGAAGATGGTGTCCCTGGGAGACAGGAGCCAGAGAATCATCCAGGACTCACGCACCCAGTTAGATCTCTTGCAGAGGTGTTTAAAGTTGTTTTGTACTTCATATTTCAGTGAAATGAATTTTTACATAGAAAATAGTGATATATGTTAGCATGTAAATTCATTCTTCTCTGTATGTATTGTCATCTTCTATTGATGTATTAACTCAATACATCTCAAGATGCATCTAGATCAATACATCTCTAGAAAGACTGTCTAATGTAACATTAGACATATTGACACCAGAGCTTCATGTAGAAATATGTGGTTTCATGTTGCTTATTGATTTCTGTTGGGCTCTTTCAAGATGTACAGCTCAATGGCAAGATTACCAGAAAGCAAGAGAAGAGATTATTGAGTTGATGAATGATGCAGAAAAGAGATTGTCTGAGTTTTCTTTGTTGAAGACTTCTTCTAGTCATGAAGCAGAAGAAAAATTGTCACAACACAAGGTCAGTTTTATTTTTTTAATATCCTTTAATTGTTAGCGTAATGAATCTTTGCAATGTGATGGTTCCAGAAATAAATCAATAAACCTTAATTTCTACCTGGGTTCTCTAAATATGATAAGGATACATTTAACCTCATTTTATAAAAGTTTTAAGTTAGTTTAAACGCTATCACTTTTTTAGGTTTCTCACTGGCAATGCACAGCTAAAGTTTAAAAAAGACATTTAGGGCCAGGCGCGGTTGCTCACGCCTATAATCCCAGCACTCTGGGAGGCCGTGGCGGGCGGATCGTTTGAGCTCAGGAGTTCGAAACCA